ATTAAACTTCTTTAGGATGTAGCTAACACTCACTGGCTCAGGCCGGAGGGGTGATTTCTTGGTCAGTCATTAAGAATCTGAGCGTGATTTACATCACAGCTTTGTTATGCACAAGCAAAAAAAAAAGCTAGAAACCACCAAAATGTCCAACACGAACAAAATGAGAGCAGAGCTGTTTACAGTTTGGGAAACAGGATGAAAAATGGTTGGATGGCTTGCAGGGAAGGATAAATTTGGGCACCTGAAGCCTGAGGTGCCTGAGGGACATCCAAGTTGAGGATGTGCGGGACATCCTCAGAGAGGCAGAAATGGAAGCCTGATGCAGAAGAGATACCAAGACCAGAGAGAACGATCTGAAACTCAGCCTTGGAGAGAACAAGAGGCCACGGAAATCACGTTCTCTGACAGCAGTGAAGGTCGTGCAGAAAGATTTAAAGAACAAGGCTGATTCCAAAGGGCATGCACAATTTAGTAGAAGGAAAAATGTGTGTATGTGCCCCACAAAAAGAAAAATATCTGACAGTGCCAAAGGCACAATGTTGAAATTATAGGTCATTTAGGTATTATTTTTCTTCATACTCTTCCGTATTTTCCTTTTTTAAAAAAGAAAGCAGTTTCTTCAACTAATACATGTTAAGCGACTACACTGCTCCAGCATTTTCTTGAATGATGAATATGTATATATTTTTTCATTACTTTAAAACATATCTTTTAATTGAAGTTGTTCTATGGCCTTGCTTAACAGATAAGGAAATGCCGACAATCCCAAGAGAAGAACTGACTTGCCCAAGGTCACACAGTCAGCCCACCACAGCTTCTGAAACCCATCCTGGAGCTCCAGCAAACAACAGAGAAAGGCACTTGGTCTGCAACCAAGTTTTCTGAATCTTAGCTCTTCTACAAGGTGAGGAAGCGCTATAAATACAACCATAAATGTGTACTTAATCATACACCTTCCACTGCCTTATTATAGGTAATCACCTCAATGGCATTTCACCAAAAAGTTTCAGAGCAAAGTATAATTTTCTTTCTTGATAATTTTGAGGACTTTTTGTCCTTTACAGAAAAAAATGTTCTACATTTTCCCAGTTTTTAAAAAATAATCCTTTTGCCAGCTACTGATGCTGCCAGGTTTTTAACGTTGAGTGCACCCCCTCCAAGCTACATATATATCTGAATACAAATATATTTATTTGAAAACTGGCCGAGCTTTTGTAATTCACTCTCTTATCACAGGATGTACTAAAAGCAAAGTCATAATTCCTTCAAGTTTATCTAATTTGCAATACCCATTTGAATAAAAAAAATCCCATTGTCTTTCCTCATAGATATTGAATTATTGGAAGACCACTGTATATCTAGCATAGACCAACAAAATGAAACATGATTCTTTAAAGCAGAATGTTATTTCCATTAGTTACATCAGATAGAAAGCTTTTACCTGTAATTAAGTAAATCAATTCTAAGATTTAAACCAACCTCTGACATGAATTCGATTTCCAAAATATGTGACCTTTGGTTGACCTATATTTCATTTTTTTAAATTGGGCTCCATCACAACCTAGTGATCAATACACACAATACCACAAACAGTATCCCTTCTATTTGTCAGATATTATAGACGATCAGCCTGGTGCCTGCAGAAAGTATACAGCTATTGGTCTAACCTTTTGGGCCCATCTCCTGAAAGCATGATACACCATTCTCACATCATGACTTGCTGTACTTAAGGTACCCATTTCTGCACCCTTAGAGATGATGTGGCTATAAATGCATGCACAAATGTCTCACAAACCTACTCCCTGCGATGAGTGTTTACTTTGACAACCTTAACTGCCTCCAGCGTTGGGAAGGTGAGGGGCTACTGTATTTCTTAAGGATGCTTTTGCTCTGCCTTTGAGAAAAGACATTGCACAGTAACATGCACTTTACTTATACAACTTTCTCATCCACCTACTGCCACGCTGACAAATCTAAACATTAGATGCTTTTTTCAATAGTCATTTCAGAAGGGAAAACGATCAAGTAGGTGAGAGCTCTAGGGATGTCAGGCAGTCCTGAATTTGAAGAGCCACCCTGCCACTTACTAGGTGTGCACCTTTGGGCAAGTGACTTGTATTTCAGTTTCCTCAATTGCAAAGAGCAGGTAACAGTACCTGGGATGGTTGGAAGCCAATGCACAGCTTAGCACAGCGCCTAGTATACAGCAGGGACTTGACCAAGTAAATGTCAGTTAACAGCATTCATTAGATGTTTTTCAAGTTTAGTCATATAATATGACCAACATTTGCACAAGACTTCTTTGTCCCTGTTTCCCCAAATCAGAAACTCTACCAGCACTGCCTTGGAAATTACTGGGAAGACTCTGGAAAAGGGGGCAAAATAACTCCATAATACCCATCCTTCAGAACTCAGGCCAACACTTTAATACTCAGGTTTATCTGTATTTACTTGTCTGGTTCCCTTTTATGGTGCCTCATCTGTTTAGGGGGTAGGGGAGATCTCCTGGGATCCAACCAACAAATTTTGAAGTAGACTTTTGCAATTTAGCCCTTTTGCAAGTACTGTTTAATGTTCAACCTGAACTTAGTCTTTGCTAAATCTTTGACCTTATCTCTAAGCATATCATTTTCTGCTTGTGATCCTAAGCTCATGAAAAACATGTTTTTGTTAAATGTTTGACAACTTAAGTATAGAAATGCCTAGAGATTCAACCTGTGAATAAGTTCTTCCAAATGCTGACAACATTATATGCTACAAAAACTTCCCTTCTAAGTATGGAATTGTGAGTCCCTCCACACTGGAATCCCAGAATGGAACAAGAACAGATAGAAAACTAAGAACCACCTGCCAGGGTCTTGGGGTATGCACAGATAATCTTAAGAAAGAGAAGGAATGTCCCTTCCCCCAACATTCCAACCCTTCTTCTTGAGTGCTTCATCTGGAACCCTGATGAGAGAAAGGGAAATAATGAAGAAGAAATGCTGCTGGTGGGCCTGGCGACTCACCATAGCAATAGCAGCTCCCTACTAGCTGAATGCAGGTGTCAGTGCAATGCCCTGTCATCAGCAATGCACTCGGTTAATGATGAGTCTATGATAATAGAAAGTGCAAGTACTATAACTGAATACAACACGTTACAAAATATCGCATACAAGTACACACACACAGACACACATGTGCAGTGCAACCTCAATGTAAAATAAAGCATATTAAAACCATAACGACAATACACCAAAACACTGGTTGTCATTAAGTGGGAGATTATAGGTAACACTTTTCCTTCTGCTTTCCTATTATTTTTTTCTAATTTTCTATAATCATGTATTGCTTGATAGCTAATAAATGTATTTAAAATGTCAAAATAAATGCATTAACATTTAGCAAATTTCACATTTTAGCAAAAGAGAAAAATGAATGCTCTTCAAAACAGCTCTTTGCTACAAAAGACTTTGACCACTGCCCTGATGATAAAGGTTGATAATTAGTAACTAGGAGGAAACTTAGCAAATGTTGGCGTGAGCAGCCTACCCCATGTCCATCTGTCTGCATCAAATTGTTATTTTTTCCCATTAAACTTTGTGGTCAATCAGAGAGGATTGGGGAACGTGGAGCAGCAGCGGTGTAGGGAGAGGAAAACTGTTAGAAATCGGTAGGCTAAACGATGTATCGTCAAAACTGCTCTGAAAGTTTGCACAGTCCGTACCGGAACTAAATAGCCTGATTTGTTCACACGCATCAAGGTGTGGCCCGCTAGGAAAAACCCACATATCCCTGAGTATGAGCTTAGACCTTGAAGATCTCAATACTTGCACTTTGGAAGGAGCCGTTTCTCTCACCGAAGCCCAAACGCAAGTCTCAAGGAGAGTGAGGGTTTGGCTTCACCAGAAGAGCTATATGAAGTTTTAACTTTATGTTCCTGTAAGGCTGCCCTGTTCATCTTCTATCTTGTTTTCTGGAGCTTTGGAGATACATTTAAGGTTATTCTCATAGACTGAGCCTCTAGGCCTTTATGTCTAGAGAAACTCAAGCCTGCCTCACCTGCCGATCTGTGATCTGATCTTCCTACGCCATCAGTAAAACTGTAGGTGCTCAGTCAGCAAGAATCAGGGACTGTATTTGATGTCCCTGGGGCAAGCAGGTCGGGGAAAGGATGGGACCAGGTCAAGGGTGAGTGTTGGGAGACCATTTTGTAATATTTCTCTTGGAAACCCTTATCAGGGTTTTTGTTTTCTTTTTTCCTGTTGGCCGGTGGAAGTAAACATTGTGGACATGGTGCGCTCATCCCCATCACCCACCGTGCACTGCTAACTTCTGAGTCAAGGCAGTAAAGACTAGGTGAATGGATTTCTCGTTTGGTTTTGGCTGGGGATGGAGGATGAGGAGAAATGGCTGTGAGTGCCGGCTTAACCAACAGTCTATAGGCAGGGGGATAAATTGTAAGTTCGAGATTTGTAGATACTAAGTACTATATATAAAATAAACAAGTGTCTACTGTATAGCACAGGGAACTATATTCAATATCTTGTAGTAATCTAGAAGAAAGACTATGAAAACAAATATATGCATGTACAAGTATGACTGAAACATTATGCTGTGCACCAGAAATTGAGGCAACATTATAAACTGACTACACTTCAATTTGTTTAAAAGTCTGCAGTTATTTTGGAAGACTTGTGAACTCCCACAGAACACCAATGAAAATGGCGGGGAGGGGATTGGTGGGGACCCTACAGAAATGAAGGTAAGGGAATAATAGGTTGCCTTAAACCTGTCAAATTATCCAAGGAGGGGACAGGGGGCGTCTTGGCCAAAGCCGGGCTGATGTCGCCGAGGAGGGGCCCCTGGAGGAAGGGAGCTCGGCATGGGGCCTCAGCCCCGCTCGGGTCCCTGCGGCTCCAGCCCTCTCAGCCCTTCTCCGCGCGGCGCAGACGCGAGCTGGCCTGGCCGGCCCCCGACCCCCGACCCCCGACCCGAGGGGCAGCCGGCGAGGGGGGTACCTTGGTGCCCTGGTAGAAGTCGTCGACGGACCGCGAGCCCATGAAGGGGAACTGCATGTGCGTGTGCGTGTCGATGCCGCCGGGCAGGACCAGCTTGCCGGCCGCGTCGAGGACCCGCAGCCCCGAGGGCGCGCCCCCGGGCGGCAGCAGGTCGCGCCCGAGCGCCCGTACCACGCCGTCCTCCACCAGGACGTCCGCCACCTGCGAGAAGTCGTCGTTGACCACGCGCCCCCCGCGGATCAGGAGCCGCGACGGCGCCGCCATGGCGAGGGGAGCAGGCGCTGCGGGCGGCGCGCGGGGCCAGACGGGGCGAGCGGGGCTGCGCGCCCTCAAGCTGCCCGGGGACCGCCCACAGCGTCCAGCTCGGGGATTATCAAGCGGCCGCGGGGTGGCGGCTCCACCCCCCGGGGCGGGGCCTGCGCCGAGAGGCGGGGCAGAGCGGGAGGTCAGCGCGCTTCAGACCCCAAAAGTTCTGCCGCCCTGAATCCAGGTACATCCAGGTCGTAGTCATTGGAAGGGGAAAATCTTAGAGCTTTAAAGGAGAGGGACGTTTGTCTTCCTTTAAGAAAAGGCGTTTTGGGGACAGAAATCCACCTCATCTCTTCCCTTTATAAAGACTGTCTCTACCAAAATGCAGAGAGTCAGAGAGAGAGAGAAAGAGGAAAGGAGGGAGAGAGAGAGACACCACCAGCAACAATGAAAATGCCCACGCCAGGCAGAACCCACTTAAGCTGGATTTCCTTTTAAATATTCTTAACTATGTGAGGGGCAGGTCATCACACGATACCAGTAACGGCAGACACAGAACAGGAAAATTCGCAGTGAAATAGTTAATTTTTAAACTAAAATGATTGGGTATCAACTACTCTCCAGGTTTCAGTAATACAATACATACAAGCAAGTTTTTCTTGGAAAATAGCAGGAAATTCTAGGGATCTAGGATTTTGCTCCCAAGCTTTTCCACAAAACCAGCTTAGAGGTCTTCAGTTAAACTTTTATCTTCTTGGTTCCTCAGTTTTCTCATATATACAACCGAGATAGTGCTTGTTCTTCCCTTCCAGATTTGCTCTGACGGATGTGAATACACTTTAATAAAATAGGAAGTTCCATACAAATTTATTCAACGAACACTAGCTTTGTAAGGACTGACTATCTGGGGGATTGGATAAAGGGGCAAGTGATAAAGAAAAATGACATTCTGGCCCTCAAGGAGCTAAGAGCCAACAGTGACACATGTACATATTTCAGTATATAACAGTATATAAAACAGAAAATTCTGCCTTTGAGAGGGGATAAAGATACAAGTTTAAAGGAAAAGGAGCGTTTCTTTTTTTTATTGAAGAATAGTTGATTTATGCTGTTGTGTTAGTTTCCGGTGTACAGCAAAGTGATTCAGTTATATTTCTTTTCAGATTCTTTCCCATTATGGATTATTACAAGATATTGAATATAGTTCCCAATGTTATATAGTAGGTCCCTGTTGTTCATCTATTTTATGTATAGTAGTGTGTATCTGTTAATCCCAAACTCCTAATTTATCCCTCCCCATCCCCTTTCCTCTTTAGTAGCCATAAGTTTGTTTTCTATGTCTGTGAGTCTAATTTCTGATTTGTAAATAAGTTCATTTGTATCATTTTTTTAAAATTCCACATATAAGCGATATCATATATTTGTCTTTCTCTGTCTGACTTCACTTAGTATGATAATCTCTAGGCCCATCCATGTTGCTGCAAATGGTATTATTTCATTCTTTTTTATGGCTGAATAATATTCCATTGTGTGTGTATGCTTTTTTTTTTTTATCCATTCATCTATTGATAGACATTTAGGTTGTTTCCATGTCTTGACCATTGTAAATAGTGCTACTATGAACATTGGGGTGTATGTATCTTTTTGAATTAAAGTTTTTGTCTTTTCCAGATATATGTCCAAAAGTGGGATTGCTGCATCATATGGTAAGTCTATTTTTAGTTTTTTAAGGAGTCTCCATACTGTCCTCCATAGTGGCTGCACCAATTTACATTTCCACATACAGTGTAGGAGGGTTCCTTTTTCTCCACACCTAAGAAGAGTTTGTTTCTGCCCTGAAGAAAATTAGATATGGAAGATTCACAAAGAGGTGTTTGAACTGGGACATGGAGGACATGAACATGGAGAGATGAGGGGTGGGAAGAGGGATGGTGTTCTAGGTGAGAGAACAGGCTAGGGAAAGGCACAGAGGCAAGTTGAGTCTCAAGTCCATGTGGTTAAATTAAGAAGATAGGATTGGACAGCTGTGCACCGCCCCTTTCCTCACAGGGGAGGAGGAGGAGAAGGAGACAGAGGAGGAGCAGTCAGAAAGAAAGGGAGTGAGGGGAGACAGCAATACAGAATTTCAAGGGCATCAAG